AGAAAAAATGGCACAAGTGGAGTGAGAAGAAAAATGGTACAAATGGAATGAGAAGGACAATGGCACAAGTGGAGTGGGAAGAAAAAATGGCACGAGTGGGAAGAAAAATGGCACAACTAAATTTAATTGGTATTTCATTATAATTATACACCAAAATGATTAGAACCCCCATAAGACTTGCCGCCCGTGGCCGACCGCCACTCCCACGCCCTTAGTCCCCCGATGCATCAGCAGCACGACTTGACTTCTCTATCAAAAATTTAGAAACATATATCTTTATCTTACAGCGTAACTCGGATATAAGAGAGTTGTCGGGACCGGAGAAGAAGTCTCTTATATCCGGGTTTCTCTTATATCCGGGTTTGGTCTATTTTATATACATTAACACAGGCTCTAATTTGGGACCAGAGAAAATCTCTCTTATATCCGGGTTTCTCTTATATCCGGGTCTCTTATATCCGGGTTACACTGTATAAGCTGTTCTTCTTCAAAACTCGGGGGATCATGACTCTCCACAACTTCCGCTCCTTTGTAGCTCTAAACAACGTTAGATTCTTTGTCCCCGCTCTGTCATTCAAGCAACTCGTAGGTGCACCTATTGTACATGGGTGTGACTAGAGAGTAAGATAGCCTCACAGAAACTATCACTTCTCAGGTTGGCTTTTGAATTCAGAATTTACCTTCTAGATTGGTTGCCGTCTAGTCTGTCCTGCTATTTAACCTGAGAAGAAATGAAACCACACCTGAAGGAAAGGTATCTGTGCGAAAGCGAATATAACAAACGCGATGTTTGTATTTCAGATGTTTCCTTCTCAACAGAACAACAAATTTGCCGTAAACTCTATACGTTGTTAACTAAAGTTGTTAGACTGAATGTTACTAAATATTATTTTCATTCTCATAAAAGTTATCAACTGGCGTGATTTTGTTTGTATTCATTTTTTTTTTTCGGAGTTGGGGTCTTCCCGTTTTAGAAATAATTATTTTATTGTTTTATTTAGTATATACAAAAACTGCTTCATAGTCGGCGCTGAGGTTGCGATGGGGGATACTGAGACACATCTTTTTTTTTTTCATAACAGAAAATTAAACATTAAATTTGTCCTTTTGTCCTCAATTGATGACTATTCTATTGGACTGTATGTATCGTTTGTCTTTAAAATAATCACTGCCATTTTTGTTAAATAAATAGATAAAAACTTCGATTTTTTCAAAAACAGTCTAAAGCTTTTATAAGTCTTATATGCGAAAAAATGTCTTTTAAAGTCTCATGCCAGGAAATAATTACAAGCGCAAAGCAAAAAAAAAAAAATGCGTATTTATTTACAAACCAAAAATAAAATGATTTTAATAGGATAATAGATGTAAAAAAAAAAAAAAGTGTTTATTCATGATAATCCGCTAAAAGAAATATATAATCAGGAATTTTAAAATCGTTAACTAACACTCACAACCCACTTTTAACATTTGATTTCAGCCCCAACTATCCTCTACGTTCTATTTCGTAACGTTCTGCTTGTGACTATGCGCCTTCATTAGATAAGCACCCTAGTTATACCTTCTTCAACCTATATACCTTCAGTATATACACCCCATTTACCTTCAGTATATACACCCCATTTAAATATATACCTTCACTATATACACCCCATTTAAATATATACTTTCAGTATATACACCCCATTTAAATATATACCTTCAGTATATACACCCCATTTAAATATATACCTTCAGTATATACACCCCATTTAAATATATACTTTCAGTATATACACACCCCATTTAAATATATACCTTCAGTATATACACCCCATTTAAATATATACCTTCAGTATATACACCCCATTTACCTTCAGTATATACACCCCATTTAAATATATACTTTCAGTATATACACCCCATTTAAATATATACCTTCAGTATATACACCCCATTTAAATATATACTTTCAGTATATACAATATGGTTAAAAAATAAAGTGAAAATCGTAAGCAAAGTTTTCTTCTTGGATATTTTTTGGTAGCAATCGACATAAAAAGTAAAAAAAAAACTGTAAAGACTCCTAGGAAACAAATTCGCTCGTGCTCACTAACTCTGATAAATTACTTCCCTGAACCCACCAGCAACTTTTTCCTGTCTCTTACTGTCAGTCAGTCTAGTATTTATCCATCCATTGCCACACGGGCGACTGTCAGTCATGAGATACTCACTTGTATCCCCAGAGACGGTAATGGTAACGCGAATGCTAACAATAGTAGCAGCTCTACACGTGTACCAGTCTTCAGATCCACCACACTCGCATACGTACCACAACTGGAAAAGCGCCTACAGGCATATTAATCATAAGGGCTGGAGGCGAGGAGAATTGCTAGTTAAAAACCTTTATACCAGACATTTATATATGCCTCTAAATGATTACGGTACGTTGTGTTGAAAAAAAAAAGTTTGTTATTCGGTCAAGCCAAGCTTTTACACGACAAGATAAGGAAAGGATTTTTCTTCAATGTGAATGACTACTACTCTATTTCTAGGGGCCAACAAGTAAATATGGAAGCACTGAATTATAAGTCCTTTTAAAATTCTTCAATTTTATGGGATGTTTTTTAAAACTGTGAGTGTAACTATTTATTCTGTTGTTATTATTTAATATATACTGTTTTGTTTATGTTTTTTCCGTTGTCAAGGGTATAACCTCTTTTTCTCTTTCTCTCTTTCTCTCCTCTCTCTCTTTTCTTCTCTCTCTTTTTCTCTCTTCTCTCTCTCTCTTTTCCTCTCTTCTCTCTCTCTATCGTCTCTTCTCTCTTCTCATCACTCTCTCTTTCCCTCTCTTTTCTCTCTCTTCTCTTCTGTCTCTTATTCTCTCCCTCTCTCTCACTCTCTTTCTACGTATGTCAGACAATGTGTGTCGCTTTCAAACATAGTTCCCTCAGCCACATTTTTTTTTACTAATTTCTTTCATAATTACTTCTCTATCCAACTACTAATGGCTGTACATTAAGGTTTGAGATGCTACGATGAAGAAAAACAACCATAATAAAACTAAAAAATACTAGTAAAAACTTAATAATGGTTAGTTGACTATGCTTTGCTTAGCCTGATAAAATTAAATCAGTATCAGTAAATAGTTATCTTCGTTAAAAAGTGAAAATATTAACTTTTCACTGGGAGACATGGAAGTAAACAAAACTACTTATTTGTTGCTTTACGTTGCACATGTTCTCTGGCATCTAGTTATCGTAAATGCTATAAAAACGTATTCGGGTCTTGGTTTTGTAATAATAATAATAATATCTATGGTTAATATTTTTTTTACCTGTAACCATGAATCATTTACTGGCACGCACAGTCTGAAAAAAAAATTTTTTTTTTCCTTTTTTTATTTATTTATTCTTAAAGAATTGTAAGTACTTCTGAGTTTCGAATTGACAGGCCGTATCTTTTTATTTTTATTTTCTTTTATTTTAAGAAAAATCCATCAGGGGCCTCCCTATTTCAACCAGCCTTTTTGTTATATATTCAAGAAACTTCTTCCCGACTCTGAATATAGACTATTTGAAACACAAGTTTATTTTAAATACCTTTTTGAATTTTTAATATTTTTCCTTATTTACACAGCAATATCAACTTTATTGTAAAGAAAAATGAAAAATAATTTTGTGGATTATTTTACTTAAATTCAATTTCCTTTCATTTTCGGTTCTTCTTTCTCTCTTTTCCTCTTCCTCCATTCTGTCTGTCTGTCTGCTGTCTGTCTATTTGTCTGTCTGTCTGTCTGTCTGTCTGTATGTATGTCTCTCTCTCTCTCTCTCTCTCTCTTTCCCACTCTAAAAATATATGCGACTATATTAGTATGTATTTTTCATACCGCCTTCCCCAATAGCAAAATAAAACAAATGGACTGTTTTTAATTGAAGATGGCAATCCATTAAGTATACCCACCCGATATAACGCAATGCAGGGCTGTCAGTGTATTATATGGCGGGTCATACAAAAGTTCTCTCTGTCACTTGCTGCGGACATTATGACCCTACCACCACTTAGTGCAATGGAGAGGTGTTGCTCGAAAGAAAAATCCCACATTTTTTTAGATTACATCGCCCAAAAACAAAAGTAAGCTGAATTTAAAGTTGTCACCGACAATATCAGATTGTCCAATACTAACCGTTTTTAATGGCATATGAGAACAGTTCTCCTTATAGGAAGAGACAATTGAAATATGTCACATAATGAGGAAAGAGTGTTTGGAAAATTTGATACTCACAAAAAAGATTTAAGGTAAGCGGGCCAGAGGAGGGCAACGCACAACCTACGTGACGAGCTTGAGCGAATGGATAGCGGAGCAAGGTTTGTGGGGAGATGATAAAAAGACAAAAATGTTTAAGAGCTACAAAGGACAGGAAATTGTGGAGTGCCATGATCGCCAGTGTCCTGATGGGACACGAGACATAAAAGAAGATCGTAGCTCTGCAGAGATTCTATTTCTTTATGATCTAATCGGCCTGGTTTCCAGTTGCCTTCTGCCCGATTTTGAATTCAGAACAATTCTTCTTCACTGAGAGCATCCCAAGAGTAGAGAGCCTAGACTACTTTGTTATTTAAACCATACCTGTCGGGGTGGAGAAGAGATAAAGACATGCCTTTTCCAAGAGTATTTGTGCGAAAGTAAATGCAACAGACTAGACACGAATTTGAACTCTTCTTGATGGTTACACTTTCAACACTAATAATAACTGTTACACTAACCGCACACCTAATGTAGAGTATTATAATCTTTTTAAAATAAACATGCATACATAGATTTGTTTTGCTCTTTAAAGTGAAAATACTTTATCTCAGAAAGCCAGATGACTTAACAATAACAATTATGAACCACCGAATTCGATTTAACTCCGCTCAAAATTTATGACCAACTTGTGGTTAGTGGCGATCATTTTAGCTTACCTGCAATTTCCATAGGTATTGATTTTTATTTATTTATTCCGTGGCCACATAATAATTAAATGTCTTTGTGCCCCACCTTTCTTTGTTTGGACACCAATATAATAAATACTTTTTCTGTTTTTCCTTTTTTTCTCCTTCCTTTTTTCTTTCTTTTTCACTCTTTTTTTCCTCTTTTTTCTTCCTTTTTCGTTTTCTCTTATTTTCTTCTTCGTTTTTTTTCTTATCTTTTTTATTCTTTTTTTTGCTTAGCTTCGCACGCTTTGTGCTTCCAGCTGTGTATATTCACAGACACATTCGTTAATTTCAATATCAAAAATGATGTTTTTTTTTTCACATATACAAAGTCTCTCAAAAATGTTCATACGTCTACATAACATTTATCGTCATTAACTGAAAGTTCATTAAACATTTTTATAATCAAGAATAAATCTTATCCTAAACATCAACTAACCCATCGCCTTCCAATGGAATATTCACTTCTCTCTGTAGCCATATTTTGAATGGTAACGCATCTCCGTCACTGCATAAAGATGGGCAACTTCTCTATGCCGTGGACTTTTCTGAATAATTGCATAAATATATTAGCAAGACAAAATATACGCGTCTGCATTATAATGTATGAAGATTATTTATGAGCTGATAAAATATTTTTCGGGTTTCTTTCCTATTTTGATACTCTAAGCATCATTTGACTCTCCGTTTTTAATGTGGGACATTGTTACTGTATTTAGTAACGTAGGATTTTCAAGTACCCCTATTTAAGTTTTTTTTTTATCATTTTACCCCTAAACAAGATAATAAAGCCACTAAGACGCAATTAGTTTCCCAGTGTGAGCGAATATGATAAAAAAAAACATTATTAAGGAGAGAGAACAATAAAAGAAGTAAGATAACAATTAATATTGTGTTTACATTTTTGAAGATCAAAGTTGACTGGAAAGGAAGAAGCCGGGAGGAAGTTCTTCAAGTGAGAAGTACGAGAAATCAATTTTTTAGCATAGAACTTACGGTTACATCTAGCCATTACAACTGTAAAATGATGAGACCTTGCTGTCAATCTACTGCTGCGTTTCAATTCATAAATTCTAAGTACTATAGTGGAAAGTTCATCAGAACAATTACTATGAAAATATTTATAAAAAAGGCACAGAGAAGTTACGTTACGGTAGTGAGAAAGTGACTGGTGCCGAGATGCCAGATCAGGACCAATAACATTGCTGATTCTTCTTTGGATTTTATCAAGAACTTCTAAATATATAGCAAGAGCACCAGACTAGATGTGGCAGCAATATTCAAAGCAAGGACGAATGGCTGTCTTATAAATATATAAGTGATTCTGGCGAAAAAATTGTCTAGCAAAACATAGTGAACCACCTTTCTTAACTGCAAACTTAATCGATTCAATATACTCTTTCCACTTTATATCAGCTGAAAAAGTTAGTCTGAGAAGACGCAATGAGTAACTCTCCTAGAGGTTAGCATCAGCCATACTTTTCTCAGATGATTAAAAGAGCCGGTTTCATTTTTGAGGAGTTAAAATTTGTATTTATTCACCCCCACCACGAGGTCAGGTTGTGACACAAGGTCGGTTCAATGTGGGGAACCCGAGCGCGTACACCCGGGCTAGGAACAAAAATTCCACGAGCTCCCGCAATCGTCGGTTGCGCTGGCCTCGGTGCGAACACCGATCCGTCTCTCTGATGCAATGAAAGGGCGCAGTCTCGGGCAGCTGTTTCCCAGGACCGACATCTCTCACTATAATTTTCCTCAGTTGCGACTCTGTCCTTTGAAGGAGTCGCCCCTGAGTGCACTCTGGCGCAACTGATAGATGACAAATAGAATGTTACAAACCACTCAAGAGAGTGATTTACACACTATTTAAATTTAATGAGACATTTACACACAATTTAAAATTAATGAGACATTCTTTGTCCCATTTAAATACATATTTTAGGTTATTTTTTAGATCAGCTGTTAATCTGACCATATCGAACCGATCAGACTATGAAAACAGGTGTAAATTGTCCTTTTAATTAGAAACAGGAAAACGTTCTCAAGTGAGTTACAGTAAACGAAAGCAAAAAAGCAAGCAATGAAAACTAATTGTTTCATTAATGAGCATATATTTTACTTAACCAACCATATTTTACTTGCAGTTTGTAGTACTTTATTTATTTTTTTAATTATTCATTGATCTATTTACATTGTCTGGATTGATGTCCTCATCTTTGTTGTCATAACGGCCGGCCTTCTTCGGTTGATTGAAATTTCGAACCGAATTCCTTATTTCGTCCACTTATTTTCGTCCACCGGTTATATCCAGTTATTATTCTAGTTCTACGTACCATGTCTCTTCCGAATACCTCAATTTCAGTTAATTCCCTTTCTCTGTGGCCATGTATTGAACTCACAACTCTTTGGGTCAAGTCACTGGATGACTTCAGCCAACAATTTTATCCATGTGTCCTTGCGGACATCAGTGAATAAATTTTGGGGATTTATAAGCCTAAGGTTATCATTTTTTTACCAGACCTCATATTACAATTTGCTGTTATTATTGTTTTCTCTGATACTTTGTATTAATAGTTCTAATATTGTATTCATGCTTATGCTTAGCCGAAATATCGGGAAGAGGACAACAGTCCAAACAATGCAAATAGTGTAAATAGTTACAATATCTTATCACAGAAATATAGAGATATTGATCTATTTGTACTAGTGTCCGCATCTGGTTTGTTTACCGTGACAATGTTCCGGCTGCTGCACATTCCGATTTTCTTCAAATGCCTGTCGTATTCGGAAAGATCAATAGCTAAAAATGACTTCGAGCGAATGAAGCTTGTAGATCTTAGCGAGGACCATTCTTCTTTGAACCTTACGGACTGGCGCTACAGAATCGCAAGCAAAGAACTTTACCAAATAACAGAAACCACACCATTTAACAATGGTTAAAAACAACATCAACAACTAAAATAAATAGCACATGTCACTTGAAGAGAAAGTAATGACATAATCAAGATGTTGACGTTCCACATTACTTTAAACAAAAGGTTAGGAAGGAAACGTCTCTACATTAATGGAAAAAGCGATAACAGTTAATGGACTTGAGAAACCTATTTTCCTGAAAAATTGTTTTATTAGAAAGATCTTAGAAATTTCAACTGATAGTAGATGCTCGATCAATGAATGCCGAATGTTTCCTTATAAGGAGACGGCGGCTAATATTGCCATTACAATTGCATATTATTCTTGCTTTACTATCTAGTATTAGTTATTTTCATCGTTATGAACCGAAGTATATGACTTGCGCTAATCCACTTGTTAGAACTCATGATTATCAAATAATTAGACGCACTTAAAGAAGGCCATATCAATCATGGCGCCAAAAACGTCCAGAAATATTTAAGCTGTCAGCTCTATACAGCCGCTTTCTCAGATCAATGGTTAAAAATGGCTTTGAGAGACTGAAGGCTATAGATCTTAGTGAAAACCAATTTTATTCGGACCTTATTTACTGGCATTACAGAATCACAAAGAATTGTACCAAATAACAGGAACCACATCACCTGAGGACTTTAAACATCAGCAACACCTAAAATGGATATCACAAATAATGACATTATCAAAATATTGACTTTCCACACTATTTCACATAAAAGGCTAGGAATTAAACCCCCAATCAGTACGGGAAACAGCAATAATAGCTACTGGACTTAAGAAACTTATTTTCCTGAAAAATTGTTTTAAGAGAAAGTTTTATAAATAAACTAGCAGTAGAGCCCGGCGTTGCCCGGGGATGTAACAGTAAGAGATAGATCAAGTATCGACCATCATAAAGACTGAAAAATAAAATTGTCAAAGATTATTGTTTAAGGTTGACGGACACACGTCTTAATTAGTTTTTTTGTTTTGTTTTTTGTTTTTGTTTTTTACGAATTGGTCGAACTCAAACAAAAACATTGTTTTCAATCGTTATGAGTCTACCAATTGAATAGAATTTTATTATAAACAATTGTCTTGTAAATGTTTTTTTTAAAGCATTCTGAATGTAAAAATAAAGAAAAAAGTGTGCAAGACAATAAGAAACACTACCAAAAAAAAAAGTGAGTTGTTGAAATCGGTTGAAAAATGTAGGAAATCCGATCCATATATAAACGAACACACACACAACCTGGGTTTTATAAGTATAACTCGATACGAGTTGTCCCTCTTTCATTCTCGTGTTTTCAAATTGATTTCGTGCAAAAACAATTGTATTTTTTCCAATTTTTTGGCGCTGTCAGAACCATCGCAAGGTAATTTTACATAGTCCTGTGAAGTTTTGTTGAAATCGGTTGAAAAATGTAGGAAATCTGATCCAATATATAAACGTACAGACACACACACACACACAACCTGGGTTTTATAATAAGTATGATTTCAACCGGCAGTAGTACTGGCTGCTCAATCAATGAATGTCGAATGTTTTTATAAGGAGACGACCAGTATTAGCATTACTAACGTCCTGAAAACCTAACAAGTAACGGAATTTTGTAGCTTTAAACCCGTAGTCAGTTCTTTTCTAATTAATAGCAAACAATATTCAGACTCTAATTCAAATAGACAAATATATTAGGTTGGTGCAAAAATAATGACGTAAGAATGTCGTTTTTTGACGTTAAAAATACGTCAAAAAACGACATTATTATGTCATTATTTTTGCACCAACCTAATATAATAATAATAATTTCTTCTTTAAAAACTTCAGAAAATAATTAATGATATCGAATACCTCTGTGTTGTATTCGTTCTCAATCGGAATACTAATGAATATTACGGTTCTTTGTTGCTTACCTTCTCCCACCTGGATCTACCTCTAATTTCCTAGGCTTTATACAGGGTGATTAAAAATGCTGACACTTTTATGGGAGTATCTTTTTTTATAATAAATGTACTCCCATCGAACAGTTAACATTTTTTAATTCTCCGTGGAAGATTGCAGGAATGTGTTTGACAGGGATGGTGAATATATGGAGACTATTTGAGATCATAATATTAGTTTTGCTTTTCTAGTTAATTTACCCCCAAAGAGGTCTTCTTAACAGATTTTTTTAATCACTCTCTATAAACTGTTAAATATTAATGCAAACGAATTAAAAATATTTTTCTTCATTCTTTTTTTCATGACAAAGAACAGATTAAATACTTACGCATGACAAAATCCAACACACACACATACAAAGATAAATACATACACGTGTGTATGTCTGTTTCATTAGTGTCTCTTTCATGTCACT